TCGTGGCCAACGATCGCCAGACTTCCGTCCGTGCTGGTACCCCGTACCACAGCGACGGCACCTGGTCCGATGGTCTGGTCTCGGCTGCCAAGGCCGTGGCCTCGGCCACCGGCGAGCTGTGCGAGGCCGCCAACGACATGGTCCAGGGCAAGGCCGACCGTGCTCGGATTATTGCCACCTCGCGCGCGGTGTCCGGCTCGACCCAGCAGCTGCTCAGTGCGGCCACCGTCAAGTCCAGCATCACCAGCCACGAGTCGCAGAACCGCCTGCGTGGTGCCGGTGCCCAGGTCTCCAAGGCCACCCGTGCCCTCATCGAGGCCGCCGAGCAGAATGCCGCTCTCGACACCAACCCGGCCGACGAGGTCAGCGAGCTCATGGCCTCCGGCATTGGCTCTCGCAAGGCTGAGATCGAGCTCCAGATGAAGATGCTTCAGATCGGAAGAGCGTCGTGTACGCCTGCGTGGTGCCGGTGCCCAGGTCTCCAAGGCCACCCGTGCCCTCATCGAGGCCGCCGAGCAGAATGCCGCTCTCGACACCAACCCGGCCGACGAGGTCAGCGAGCTCATGGCCTCCGGCATTGGCTCTCGCAAGGCTGAGATCGAGCTCCAGATGAAGATGCTTCGCATGGAGCAGGAGCTCGAGGAGGCCCGCCGCGCTCTGTCCAGCATGCGTCGCCAGCGCTACGACAAGTAAGGGCGCACATGTGGCCGGCTGTGTGCGCGCGTGTGTGTGTGTGTGAGCAGGCGAGTGGCGGAGGACGTCATTTCTCCCCCCCCCCCCTCTCTCTCTCCCCCTCGGCCCAGCCCCCTCCCTTCCCCCCTCCCCTCCCTCTGGCCTTTTCTTGTTGTTGCGCGTGCGTGTGTGCGCTCGGGGACAGAGTGTGCCCCGGGTGCATGTGCGCCTGCCCCTCCTCCTCCTCCTCCTCCCTCTCCCCTTCTGGGGGGGATGTGTGCCCCCTTCTTCCTCCCTTCTTCGGCACGCTCCCGCTCTCTCTGCTTCTTCCTCGCCATGTGTGTATTGCGGAGGTGGAGGCATGTGTGTGGGGCGGCCGTCGCGCTTTCCAGCCGCGCGGCATCCGCCCCTCCCTTCTCCCCCCCGCCCCCCCCTCACCTTTCGCGCGTGTGAATGTATCGCCCTTTTGATGTGCTAGCCATATTTCAATAAATCGGATCTCTTATCTCCCCATCGAAAGGGAAGAGGCTGTCGGTGTTGGGTTTTGGGCGTGTGGCATGTGGTGTGGTGGGACTAGTGCCCTGTTCTTTCTTTTCCCCTTCCCTCCGCGTCAAACGGGGAGAGTCTGCGCACATTCGCTCGAGGAGGGAGCGAGGAGGGGAGCCAGTGGGCACCCGTGAGCCCAAAGGGGGCATCTCGCGTTCGTTTTCTTCTTTGGGATGGATTGTATTTGGGTTTGCTTTTTTTTTCTTCTCCCCGCCTACCCGAAGGGCAGGGCAGCGGCGGGGTCAGGAGGGACACCGGGCGATCGGGTGGAGTGGCACAAGGGAAGCGAAGGAGCCTGACAGTGCGCGGGAGGCAGCCCCTGTTGGGTGTTCCTCTCACAGGCGGCCGGAATTGACGATGGTCACCCGCTTGGTGGGCCGACCTGACGCCGTGCCACAGGCCTCCACTCGCCGGACCAGGTCCAGGCCGGCGGTGACATGGCCAAAGACAACATGCCGCCCGTCCAGCCAATCAGCCTTGGCGGTGGTGATGAAAAACTGCGAGCCGTTGGTATTCGGGCCCGAGTTGGCCATTGAGAGGCAGCCTGTGTGTGTGTGTGTGTAGCTGCATGTGAGTGTGGGGAGGGTGTCAAGCCTTCAGAGTAGGCAGGCAAGGGTGGAGGAAAGAGGGAAAGAGCATCAAACTCGCACCGATACCAGTGTGCTTGAGGATGAAGTTCTCATCATCGAAGGCCTCGCCAAAGATCGAGTGCCCACCTGTGCCATTGTGGTTTGTGAAGTCACCGCCCTGGAGCGTGAAGTTCGGAATGAGCCGGTGGAAGGTCGACCCGCGGTAGCCATAGCCCTTGGAGTGCTCACACAGAGCAAGGAAGTTCTCTGCAGTGGTATGCGCGTGTGGCAGGTGTTAGCCCTGGGAAGGGGGAGGCGCTCATATGTGGCGAGGGGGGCCTCTCGTACCGCAAGTCTTGGGGCAGATGTCCGCGCGCAACTGATGGCATGATGGCGAGCAGGGAGCATGAAGATAAGTCCCCGGGACGATGGTAGATATGCACAGATACACACACACACACACACACACAGACACAGACACAGGAAGGAAAAAAAGGAGGGCAATCTAGCGCGCACCACAAATTCAATCCGCCCGGCTGGCTCGCCGCTGATGGCAATGTCGAAGAAGGCGCGCGGGTTCTCGGTAATGTGGATCTTGGGAGCCGGCGCGGCGGCAGTAGCACCACCAGCGGCGGCGGCACCGGCGATGGCAGCCGCACTGTCGGCGTCGCGGCGCGACTCCTCATCCAGCGCGCGCTGGCCGGCCCGCGTGGCGGACGACACAAACTCCGGATCCTTCTCCAGCGACGCGTGGCCGTACTTCTCCAGCCACTTGTCCTGTGCCCAGACTGGGGAAGAGGAAATGCACCGCAAGTGCACCGGGAGTTAGTCACACACACACACATATTCAATTGCACACACTCGCAAGAGGCAAAGACTGGGGCAAAGGGGCGAACCCCCCGCCCCTGCACCATAGGCACATACAGGCGACATTGTTGTCCGTGCGGGTATCAATCTGGGCACCAGTGCGAGACAGCTGGCACTTGATGGTTCGACCGAAGAGCTCCGCCTGGTCCATGTTATCCACAGCCGCGATGGCATCCTCAGCCTCCTCAAACTCTACCATGGCAAAGCCACGGTGCCGATCGGCTGAGGGGGGGGGGGAGGGGAGGGGGCGGCGGCAAAAGGACACACGGGTGTTAGGAGACAAAGGAGCGGGAGGGGGGAGGGGTCATGTGTGGCTGTGTACAGCCGCAGGCGGGCCTGCGACGAGGGAAGGGCGACACGCGCAGGACACGTACAGGACCGCTGGGTCGGCATGTTGATGGAGACAATGTCACCGAAGGGAATGAACGCCCCCATCAGGGTCTCGCGGGTGACATTATCCGCAAGCCCGGCTGCCGTTATTCCGGGGAGATGAAGCCGGGGAGGAGCGTGCGGAGAGAGGGGGCACCGTGCGAGGAGAGTCAGCCAGGACTTGCACAGGGGCGGAGGAGAGGGGCCAGGCTTCGCCCGCATCGTGGGCCAATGGGGCTCGGCGGCCGAGGCGTACCGACATGAACAGAACGCCGATCCATGGTTTCTGGTGTGAGAGTGCCCGGGAAGGGAGCAGAGAGAGAGAGAGGAAAAGGGCAAGGGGATGCACGGATGGAGAGCGGGCAGGAGGAGCGGGACGGGAGGCACAGGCGACAAAAGGGAAGAGGGGGGAGGGAGGGAGGGGAGGTGAAGCATGGCCGCGCGCCGGGTGCCCGGGGCCAGGTGTGCCAATCGGCCATTTGAATCGGCTGCCGTTGCTGCTTTCCCCCCGGGCCCCCGCCGCCGGCCCCGGCCCTCGGCGGCGAGCCAACGCAAGGGCCAACTGCCAATGCCAACGATATGTCATGATCACGCGATTGTCAGACGCTTGCGCGACTGTCACCGAAGCTTTCGATGCCCGAGGTGTGTGCGGCCCCGCCCGCTCCTCCGGCCCCCCCCCCGTTCTCTTCTCGGGTGGCGGGGCAGGTCCTGTGCAGGCTCCAACCGCCCCAGTTTGCGGTCGGACACCTTGCCCGGAAACACCCGGATATCAGGGCCGGGGGGCGGGGGGGGGCCGAGACACACCCCTGTGTGCGCAGACACTAGAGACCAGCCGGAATTTGCCGCCCTTTGGCAGCCGTCCCCGCCCGCCGGCAGCTGTGGAAGCGGGCATCAGGGGGGAAGACGCAACGCAGGATGCGGAAGACCAGGGATGCCATCTGTTAACCTGCCTCTCTGGTGGCTCTCCCAGCTCCTGGGCCCCTTGCCCGGAGGCCGGTCCAAGTCGATCCGATGCTCTGGCAAGCAGCTAGGACTGCTGCGTTCCGGCGTTCCTTCGAGACCTTTCCGGGTTTGGTGTCGACCGTCAACAGCTCGGGCCGTCGCCGGCAGAGGTCCGCACGCCTGGGATCGGAGCCGCGGGGCCTTCGGGCGGAGGCGACCCAGCCAGGCGCCATCCTTTGAAGTGATGTCATCCTGGCAGGGCGGTTCTCAGAGAGATTTGGCCACCCCTCTCCCCCCCCCCCCTTCCCCGTCTCCCCTACCTCTTTTCCCATCTCCCCTTCCCACCGCCTCCTCCCCAAACTCGAGCCTCTCACCCAGTCACCGCACTTGTTCGTCCCCACCCCCACCCCTCGCACCCTACTTTGCCTTCCCTCCTTGCCGCGGGTCCCCCCCCCCCCTCTCTTTTCCCCTCTGCCCCCACTGACCGAGTCTCCTTCCTCCGTCAGCCGCAGTCCAAAACATGTCCGCCGGAATGCAAGTGGACACCCCGGCCCCGGTCCCCAAGTCGCTGCCGACTGGGGCGGCCATGTCTTCCAATCACCAGGTATGCCCATGCATGTCGGCCCTTTGCCCGCCTGCTCCGCTGCCCCTTTCCCGTGGCCTTGCCTCTCCGGCTCGTCTCTGACCTTGGTTCCCCCCCCCCTCCCCCCCCCCGGGGCATGGCCTTGTAGGACCTCTACACCACGATGCTCAACCTCCAGCGTCAGCTGGAGATCCTCGAGGTGCAGGAGTCCTATGTCAAGGACGAGCAGCGTCACCTGAAGCGCGAGCTGATCCGCGCGCAGTCGGAGGTCGCGCGCATTTGCGCCGTCCCGCTGATCATTGGCCAGTTCCTGGAGGCCATCGACAGCAACTACTGCATTGTCGGCTCGACCACCGGCAGTAACTACTATGTTCGCATTCTCAGCACCATCGATCGGTACGAGTCCATGCCCGGCTGCTTGTCCGCCTTCTTCTTTTTTGTCTGCCCCCTCCTTCTCACTTCCTGCCGGGCCCCCTTTCTGACCCGCTTGTCCTTCTCTGCGGTCTCCAGCGAGCTGCTCAAGCCCTCGTCCAGTGTCGCCCTTCATCGCCACTCCAATGCCCTGGTGGAGGTCCTCCCGCCGGAGGTGCGTACATCTGCCACCTCGCCTTCGCCCCTGCGCCTGGCCGGCCTTGCTCACATCCAATATCTCTCCTCCCCCCCCCCCTCCCCCTCCTGGGGCTTCGCTTTCGCCGCTGCCACAGGCCGACAGCTCCATTGCCCTGCTCCAATCCACCGAGCGGCCAGACGTCACCTACTCGGACATCGGTGGCCTTGACATCCAGAAGCAGGAGATTCGCGAGGCGGTGGAGCTGCCGCTCACGCACTTCGAGCTTTACCAGCAAATCGGTATTGACCCGCCGCGGGGTGTCCTCCTGTACGGGCCGCCGGGTACCGGAAAAACCATGCTCGTCAAGGCCGTGGCGCACCACACCACCGCGGCCTTCATCCGGGTCGTGGGCTCGGAGTTCGTGCAGAAGTACCTCGGTGAGGGGCCGCGCATGGTGCGCGACGTCTTCCGCCTGGCCCGGGAGAATGCCCCGTCCATCATTTTCATCGACGAGGTGGATGCCATCGCCACCAAGCGCTTCGATGCGCAGACCGGCGCCGATCGCGAGGTCCAGCGCATTCTCATTGAGCTGCTCACGCAGATGGATGGCTTCGACCAGTCGGTCAATGTCAAGGTCATCATGGCCACCAACCGCGCGGACACTCTGGACCCGGCCCTTCTGCGCCCAGGCCGCCTGGACCGGAAGATCGAGTTCCCTGCCCCGGATCGCCGGCAGAAGCGCCTCGTCTTCGCGGCCGTCACCTCCAAGATGAATGTCGCCGACGATGTCGACCTGGAGTCATGTATGTTGGCAGTGTGCTGCGCCCTTGTGCCGTTCTTTCTTCCCTTCCCACTCCTTGACTCGCCTCTGACAGCAGCTTTCCCCTCCCGCCTTGTGTCTTCCTCTGTCCCTCTCCCTCTCCCTCTCTCCTGTCTTTTCATCCCGCCGGCCCTCTCTCCAGTTGTTTCTCGGCCGGACAAGCTGTCCAACGCCGACATTGCGGCCATCTGCCAGGAGGCCGGCCTCCAGGCGGTCCGGCGCAACCGCTACGTCGTGCTGACCAGCGACTTCGAGCGGGCATACGCCACCCACGTGAAGCGCACTGACAGCGAGTTCGACTTCTACAAGTAAGTCTATACATGTGCGTGAGTGAGTGTGTGTAAGTGTGTGTGTGTGTGTGTGCGCGCGCGCGCGCACGTTTGCTCGCACGGGGCCACTGCCACGATCTTCCTCCTCCCCACCTCGCTCTTCACAGTTGGGCCCCCCGTGTCCTGCTCGCGCCCTCCCTCGGCCCTCGGGCCGCCCGCCCTCCTCGCCTCTCCCCCCGAATGTACCAAAAAAACCCCCCTTTACTTGGCTGCTTGTGCGCATGTCTCTGTGCTTTTTCTCTCTCCATTTGTCTAGGTGCCTCAAGTCGCGCGAGCGCTTCGTGTGCAAAAGAGGGAAGGAACCGGCCGACACAGGGCCAGCGGATCGATGCCCTTCGGCGCCTTGGTCCACCCCTTGGCCCTGGCCGCACAGATGGCCGGCGGGGCCCCCCCCCCCCCCTGCGTCAAGGGAGGTGCGGCGCCCACAGTCGAACGGAGGAGTCAGGCCTGACGTCGGGATCGCCGGCGGAGGGCGCAAGCATGTTAGACCAACTGACCGGAGACATGGGCATCGAGGATGGGGCCGGGGAGGAGGCAGGCCATGCAAAAGCGTACCCGCCAGTGGCGAAAAGCCCACCCAGGTCCGGCACCCGGGGGCCGTCATCGGCTTCGCCCACCCCGGGACCCAGGGGCTGTGCGGTGATCGATCCGGCCGGCGCCGCGGCCAAGACCGTCGGGATGCCATCGGCATCTGGACACGGAGGGGATGGTCAGTTTGATGGGCAGAAAAGAAAGAGAGCCCGACCCAGCCACTCCCCGGGGGGATGCACGGCATCCGCGTGCCACGCCCTGCCCCGAAAATGCAGGGCCACGGACCAAGAGTGCAATAGGACCGCGGTTCGGCCGTGCGTGTGTCCCACACCGAAAGGACGCCGGAGTTGGCACACAAGGCGCCGACCGCTGTCTCGTCCGGCGATAGGCAGGCCGCGCTGATGTCGCCATGGACCGAGGGGAACTTCACATGCCCCGGGGTGGTCCGCACACCGAGGTATTTCTGCACCACCCGGCCACTGAGCAAATCCACCAGCACCACGCCCGCCTCATCGGAGCGCGTGCGTACGAGCAGCATCCGCCCGGAGGCCGAGAATTGCAGGGAAACCACCTCGCCGCCGAGACTCACGGCGCCCAGATTGCTGACCAGCCGGCCGGAGGGGACATCCACCACGCGAACCTGGCCGCGATCCGTGCCCACGGCATACAGGTAGCCCGACTGGTCACAGGCGAGCTGATTTTTTCCCCCACCCCAGTGAGGAAGAAACCCAGGCAGGATAGTGTCAGTGGGGGCCCCAGAGGGGGGGGGGGGGGGGGAGGGGGGGGAAGGAGGTGCAAGCACCAAAAGGAACAGTGGGATCTGCCTTCGTTTGGGGCGATGCCGAGGGCAGCCGCCACATCACGTACCGCCCGGACGCAGCCGGCACCGGCTCCATTTTCGGCATCCTCGGCGGCCACACGCTCCGCCGGGGCCAGGTAGCAAGTCAAGCTGGCTGAGTCGTACATGCGCACGGCGGCGGCGCTGGAAACGACCGACGCCTCGGTGCCGCTGCCGGGGACCCCGACGCCGGCCTCCTCCGAGTCGGAGGAAGTGGCCGCCGGTCCAATGCCCCCGAGATAGCCGCCACCCACGAAGAGATAGTCCCCGGAGGGATGCGCGGCCAGGCAGTGCACGGGCTGCGGATCGCGGCCATCGCGCCAGGCGCTATTCAGTCGGCCGCCACCACCGCCGCCGCCATGCCTGCCTCCGGGGCCGGCCTGCCCGGCCGCCAGGGCCTTTTGCGACGCATGCAGGTCAAACATGCGGATGCGCCCGTCAGCCATGCCGGCGAACACCTGCGGCCGACGAGGATGCCAGCAGGTGACCACACGGCCAGAGGCCCCGGAGGATGACGTTCCCAGGGGCAATTCCAACAGCGCGGCATCCGCGTGGCCCTGTGCCACGCAGCGATCCACGTCCCATATCCGGATGACGCCGGTCGGGGCGGCATTGCCGGCATTGGTGCCGCCGCCGCCGCCGCCGCGACCGCCGGCCCCGGCCGCGATGCCGGTGCCGCCGGCCCCGGCCGGAGCCGTGTGCGTCGAGCACAAAAGGCGCCCATCCTGGCTGAAGGACAGGCTGCGCACGGGCAGGTGCGAATCATCGCGAGCCGCCGGCGACTGCTGGGCAAGGTGCGCCACTTGGGACATGGCCCGGCCGGGCCCGAGGCCCCGAGCATCCGGCCCCAGCAGAGGCCCAATCCCGAGCGGCATCGAGCCAATCCCCGGGCCCGGGGCATCGAGGGCGGCCAGGGTGGCCGCATCGATTGCCGGGGCGAACAGCTGCTCCGCACGGGTGGCACCGCCGGGCCGAGTGCCCGGCGGGACGGCTCGCGCCTCGCGCGAATGATAGCGCAGCGCTTGGAGGGCGGCCGATCGGTCGTCCAGGCTCTGTGCCAGGGCATTGGTCCCGCGTAGGGCCGGCCCGGTGGGGAGGCTGGCCGCATCGGCCACGGCGGCTGCCACCTCCGGCAGGTTGTAGAACATCAGTTGCCTGGATGTTTTGGTCAGCAGTCGTCCCACCGGCAGGACAGCAGGCAGGTCCAGGGCAAGAGGGAAGAAAGTGCGAAGGGCCAAAAACGCACTGGGCGATCAGCTGGCAAACTTCCTCACGCGAGGCGGCCGGTGCCGTGGAGCAAGGCACGGCCGGGGCAGGCGCCCCAGGGCGGGCCGGGGCCGGGGCCGGCGGCAGCGTCGGCGCGAAGGCCGGATGGTTCATGCCTCACCACGCGTGGCGTACTTCGGGGACCAGTGGAAAGGGGGAGCTGGCCAGAGGGAGTGGGGCTGCGGCAGAAGGACAGGCGAGGAGAAAAAAAAAAGGCGAAAGCGGGGAGATGACGAGAGGGAGGGGGTGTCTGTGTGTGTGCGTGTGTGTGTGTGGTCTTCCAGCTGGCCCCCAAAGGCCCCGGATGGCGGCCGTAAAAACCATCGTCTGAGGATGTCCAGATGCCAACGAACATGTACCATGCCTCGGGGCGGTGGCAGCTGGGCACTCTGGAGTACGAGCACACACTCGTCCGCGCCCTGGCAGACAGTATACAACTTAAGCACAAGTATTTGTATTCAAGGGGGGGAGGGAGGGGGCGAGTCCTCGCAGAAGGCAGAAGGAGGACACGCACGCACGCACGCACACACACACACACACACACACACAAAAAAGGACGAAAGGCTGACTGGGCTGGAGAAAAACAAGGGCTAGAAAAGGGTGATTGGGGAAATCAGAGCACCACGCGACACACACACACACGCATTGACAAACACATGCGGGACATGCTCACGGTCCGTCGGCCTGGAGAGCCAGGCGGTCGGCCCGACGGGCTCCGCCCATGCGCAGGGCGTCAACCACCTCGCGCAGGTCGACCGACGCGGCGGGATCCGCATCGCCGGTCAGCAGCACCGGGGACAGGGTCATCAGGCCAGAGCCCGGGCCGTGCATGAGAAGCGGCGAGCTGGACTGCCCGCGAGCGGCCACGGCCACCGTTGCCAGCTGCTCAACCAGGATCATGGTCTGGTCCAGGATGGTCCGGCCGGAGCCGGGGTCCACCCAGTTGACATCGGCCGGGCGTTGGGGATGTTTGACCAGGGCCTTGATGACATCGACCTTGCGCCGGTCGACAGCCAAGTTCAGGGCGCGGATGCTGGAAAGGTAGTGGCGCTGGCTGGCCAGCGGGAGGTTGGGATCAGCGCCGGCATCCAGGAGGACTGTGTCGAGACGGCCAACAGGAGGAGGGAAGGAGCGGGATTAGTCCTTTTCCGATGGCGTGGAATAGGTGGCCCAATCCAACAGGAGGGGCAGGCAGGGCGGGGGGTGGGGGTGGGGGGGGGGAAGGGACGGAAGAGAAAGGAACGCACGCCGCGTGGTCACAGGGTCGCCGGACATGGCGGCCGTGTGGATTGGCCGGAAGATCTCCGGGCCGAGCACATCCGGCCGAGAGGACCGCGCAGAGGAGGTCCCGTCCTCCAGGGCGAGGAGCGCAGCCAGAACCGGGGCCGCAGGGGCCGCCTGCCGGTGTCCAGTTGACTGGGCGGACACCTGGCCGGCGGCGAAGTTGACGTCAGCCCCGAGCTCAATGAGGATCCGCACAACAGAGGACTTGCCCAGGCGGGCCGCGAGGCAGAGGGGACTGGGAAAGCACGAGAGCGGGATGCCAAAGTACGTGGAGAGGGGGAGCAGAGGGGGGGGGGGAAAGCGGGGGGATGCTGTGAGTGCGAGCGTTCTGGGAGGGAACTAAGCGAGGGGCCACGCTCAGTCACAAGGAGAGCAGAGCACGGAAAACGCACGTCCAGCCGTCCAGCGGCGAGGCCAAGTTCAGCAACGGACTGCAGAGAGTTGACCCATCGGACAGGGGCCGACGCGTGGCCGATACCAGTGGCGCGATGAGATCCTCCTCGCCAGTGAGGATGGCAATCGAGAGCCGCACTGCCATGAGGTTCAGCAACTGCTCGCTGAATAGTGTTCCCGATGCGGCGGATGTGGCCACCGTGGCCAGGTCATTGACCATTGGATGCGCCGCCGGAGTGACCCCCGCCCCCGGGGAGGTCGGCGACACGGGGTGGCTCTCCACCACCGAGGCCATGCGACTGGGAGCCCAGCTTAGACGCCGGCCGATGGGGGAGCCGGTGGCCGTCGCTTCAGCCCCCGCCACCGTCGCTGTCGCCGCCACCGCGGCCACCGTCGTCGAAATGGCAGGCAGGGCAGCCTGCTTGTCCGGCGAACTGGCCGTGGCGCTGGCTGCCGACTCGGCGGCCGTCGAAAGGGAGGGAGCCGAGGTGAAGACCGTACCCGGGCTGCGGTCCGGGATGCCGGCCGGCGAGGGAGATGGCGAAGGGGTGGCCATGTCTTGGCTTGCCTCCACCGAGGAGAAGGCATGGCCCGCGATGGCCAAAGACCCGGACCCGGCCAGGGAGCTGAGCGACTGGGCCACCGAGCAGGAGGGGGTCGACTCGTCGGATTGCGTGCGCAAATGCAGGGACCCATTGCTTTGGGTCTCGGCCAGGGTGTCTGGATCGCAATTGAGCAGGAAGCCCGGCGGCCGACCGGGGCCGGTCTCGGCCCCAGGGGTCTCGGCCCCGGCAGCCAGCGGCGAAGAGGGCTCTCGCGGCGGCGAGTCCACCTGGCTGTACTGAGGACCTTGCATGCCGCCGCTGCCATCACCGACAGCGGAGCCCGCCCCGCCGGCCAGGTGGTCATACGATGTGAGCACTGTGGCCCCGATCATCGGGCCGGACGAGGGGTGGAGCCCCTCGCCAGGACCGGCCTGCTCCTCGACGCATGTCTCCCCCCCGGCCAGCTTGGAGTAGTCCCCATACTGGCTGTCCCCGGGGCGCGGAGCCGCGGCCAGACTGTCGGTCAGGTGTGCCATGGCCAGCGAGTAGCCCGGCATGTCCAGGAGATGGACCGACTGCATTGCCGGCAGGATGAGCGCCGTGCCCGACGGTAGGGCATTGATGCTGCACGCGTCGCTGGTGGACCCGGGGAAGAGGAGGGCCCACTCGCCGGTCAGGCGTGGCTGGCGGAAGCGCCCCGCCGTGGAGCTCTGGAAGAGAAGCAGTCGCGAGGGGGACCCGACGGCGTGCGGGTGGGCCCCATACTGGGCCGCCTCCACGCCCCCGACCGGCCCAAGGTGCGTTCGAGCGGCGATGGTCCCCGGACCGCCGGCCCCGACGGCCACCGGGTCCGCTCCGCCGCCGATGAAGCTGGCTGTGCGGATGGGCTGGAAAACCGCACTGGCATTGGTGCACAAGACCGCCGGGCTGAGGTTGGCCGCGATCGAGGTCCCCCGGAGAGCCGGCAAGTCGGCATTCAGCGGAACCACATGCGTGTGGTACTCCGACAGCAGGGCCGAATACAGGTCCCGGGCCTTGCGAGGCAGGTGCCCGGTCGTGGGCACCAGGGCAACAGACCTGCCCCCGTTGGGAAGGGCAAACGGCAAGGAGGAAGGGCAGATTAGCGCCTCGGCAGAGGAGGGACGGCGGATGAATGAAATGCGGAAGGATGGCGGGTGATATCCCACACGCCGGGCGCAGACAGAAAGCAAGGGACAACATACCCGGACATCACACGCTCGAAGCCCCGGAGCCCGAGAGCCGCGATCCAAGAGTGCTCAACGAAGGCGCGACTCAACTGGCACTCGGGGGCCACAAGCGACGCCACGGTCAGGCCACCGGCAGCCCCGGCCCCGGCTTGGTCCACCTTGAACGTTCGGATGAGGCCGCGCTCGGAGTTGGAATGCGGGGCGATGAGGATCACATCGCGCGGGGTCTCCCGGCCGGCAGCCAGCAGCCCGGCGGCCAGCGAGTCGTCCGAATTGAAGGGAATGGCCAGAGGGCCCGGCGGGGCTGAATGACCGCCACCGGCATCCGGGGCCCCAGACGTGGTCCCCAGGAGGCCTGACAGTCCGGTGGAGGAGGAGGAGTTTGACAGGGAGGTCCGATGGCCGACAATCAGCAGCTCCGGCGAGCTGGTGGATGGCCCGACATCCGAATGGCCGGAAGAGCTGCGCGGGTGGCCCGGACCGGGGGACGCCCCGATGGCCAGCGAGCTCAACGACTGGGCCGGAGACACTCCCCCGGTGCTGGTGGCCGCAAAGTGCATGGACTGCCGGCGAGCAGCCGCCTGTCCGAGCGAGGGGGCCGGCGAGGTGGCATTCCGACGCATGCGTCCAATGGCCGTGGCGGACCCGGCATGGGGGACCCCCCCCGAGCCTGGCGCTGCCCCGCCGGCCGGGCCCACAAAGCTGGACAAATCATTGGAACTGAGATTCGACACGGCCACCAGCGCGGGCAGCTCGGCACGCTGCATGGACGACGCATAGTGCCAGACCATGGCATCGCCGGCGGCATTCACAACCAACACCGCGGGCTCGTGCGGCAGGCCTAGCGTAGCAGCATGCGGCCGGCCGGCCGCTGCCGGGGTCAACACCGGCAATGGGAAGACCGTGGCATGGGGGTCCGACATTTGCTCCGGCTGGAATTGGACCTGCGGGAGAACCGGCTCGAAGGAGGCCGAGGGACCGCGCGAAGAGAACCCGGCCGCCAGGCGAGACAAGCGCCGCATGTTGCGCAAGTCCCACACTTCGGCCATGGTCGGCCCCACCGACCCATAGGGCGGGTCAATGTCCCCGACCATGGCCGCGCCGCCGGGGAAGATAAGCCCGACCCCGGCCGACCCACCCCCCGAGGGACCACCTGCCTGGGTGTGTGCCCCGGCCTGGGTGGTGGCCAGGAACCCGGAATTGTCGCTGGTGGACTGGGAGATGACCGACCCATAGAGGGAGTGCCACTGCGATGAGAAGGACAACGGCAGCGGACCAACCAGGGCAATGTGGCTGCCATCGCGGGACAAATCTGCCACAATGCAAGAGGAGCATGCGTTAGCCCGGGCATCTTTGCATGGAGACCCGACAAGCGGCGGGTGGCAGGCCGCAAAGGAGGGCAAACGGAAAGAGCCCGGATGACGCACCGAAAGTCGCACACTTGAAGCGAATGAGATTGGTGAAATGCCCGGTCGAGCGGCCGAGATACTCGCGCTCATCGGTGGCCGCATTGCTCGGGGCGCCGGGGCCGGCGGGCGACCCGAGAAGCGACGGGCTGCCAGCCGGCGACCCGATGAGGAAGCCCCCCGAGCTGACCCCTGGCCCGGGGGACATGGGGAAGCCCGGAGTTGGGAATGCACCGGCGCCCGCACTGGAGGAGATAGCTCCGAGCGAGGAGGACCAGAAGAAAATGCCAGTCTCCGACGTGGAAATCACCAGGCGAGTGGGGTCCGATGGGACGAAGCGCACGCAAGTGATGCAATCATGTGCTGCGGGCCGATGCGCAAGCAGGACCCCGGACACGGGAAAGGCGGGGAGCGGATAGGACGATGCACGTCCGGGGTCAGAAAGGGAGGGAAGAAGTCGGGCAACGAAAGAGGGAGGGCAGGAGGGGCAGGGGGCGACGACCAGGACGCACGCTTCATCAAGCTGAGCGGGATATGCTCCATCGGAATGCCCGTGGTCAGGTCGATCAGTAGAACCATGTGCGGAGCCACGGCCAGAGCCGCCATCGGCCGGCCGCGGATGCGTGCCAAATCCACCAGCCCGCGGGACCGGCCAGAGGCCAACTCCGAAATCCACCGGCGCTGGGCACCCAGGGCCGCCGGTGCCGCCGCGCCCAGCTCCATGGATCGCGGCCCGGAGAGGTCGCCCATGTACGGTGCCATGAACAGGGGATACGGGTCGAGCTCCACCGACCGGACCAGCTCCAGGGTTGAGGTGCAGATGAAATGCACATGGAAGATGGCCGACATGGTTTCCACCAGGGCCGACCCTCCAAGCGAGGGGGAGGCCCCCGTGGAGGAGGCCAGCGACTGAGCCTGGCCCATTTGCCCGGCCAAATCCAAAGCCGCTTCCGAGATGGCCGTCGAGCCGGCAGCCAGCCCGGAGAAATCGACACCGATGTTGGTGGGGTTGCCCGAGAAGGCCGACACATCGGCCGCCAGGAAGGACGAGCGCGAGGTATCGACAATCGACACGATGGAAATGTGCGACCCATCCGAGCGGACATGTTGCATCGAGAGCGCTGTACCAGGGACTTAGGGCGGGGGAGGGGGGGGGGGGGG